AAATTACAACTATTTTCTTGGCTGCTACGCGGATGACACCGCGTCAGCAGCAAAGTCCATAAATGCTGAAAAGGCCATTTGGAACTTACAAATCTTGATGCCGCAACTTGAAAGCTGGTGTGGAAATGGCGAGTGGAAATAAATGCCCAGAAGTCCCAACTTCTTTTGATCAAAAGAACTCACACTAGACACTAGTAAAGGCCAAATGCAGCTTTTAAGCGTAAACATCCCAATGGTTAAAAGTGTTACGCATCTAGGCATTGTCTTTAAGAGTTAGCTCACTTGGTCCAACCAAATCCAGAAAATTAGCAGGACTACAGGAATTATGAACAGTCTCACGCCTTTACTTGGAAACTTCTCAAAATTGGACGTTTATAAGAAAAGACACATTTACACAGCAATTATTCGCCCGGTGTTTACCTATGCTTCACCGGCTTGGGCAGCCTATTCAGAAAATTATATTAAAAAACTGCAAGTAATGCAGAACAAGTTCATAAGAAAAATCACAAATGCGCATTTTTATGTTTCAAATAATACTCTGCACAAAGATCTTAAAATTGAAAATGTTGACAAGTACTTACAGCGCAGAATTTATTACCCACAGAGACTGCATAATAATGATAATTTTAAAACCACAGGACATGAAGTCTAGGATTATGAAAATTATATACATAATAAATGTCTTTTTAATTTTTTTCAGGTTTAGGTGGGTTGACCTTTAGGAATCTATTTTCAAGATTTTTTTTTTTTTTTTTTTGTTTGTTTTGTTTTGTTTTGTTTTATGCTGAATTTTACGTGGAACCTGGCTAAAAGTTCAGCATGAATTTTAATTATATAGTTTTTAGACCTGATACTGAACTTAGTGCTTAGTGAATCTAGTACAATTATTCTCCGATCAGTTTGCCTAATTTGCCATACCTTGTAAGCTTATATTTAATTCCTCAAAATCAAATGTTAACTTCTTTACCAGCAATAGTTTTCTACATAAATTATACACATAAAATTATTTTACATAGTAGCCTCTGTAGAAGCATCCCAATTATTATAGTTATTATGGCAATTCCAAAATTAAAAACGGAAGATGTACAGAAAACTTTGTGAATAAATGCAGAAGAGAGAATTTAAGGCAATTTGTCTTTTATAGCAGTCTTAGCGAGAATGTTGACGTGGTCCGTTTCTACAATGGCGAGAACCCAACGGTTACTGATTTGTGCAAGTGTAAGCAAGAAGCAGCTAGCCATCTAACAGGTGGTTTTCCGTAATTGCATTGCCATGATGGTTTAAATGTGTTTTTTTAATAAATTGCTAATAAAAAATGAATAAAAATGTTCAGTACATTTATAAGGTATTTCTTCCGCCTTCCTAGAGTGCCTTCATGGTGTCAACACATTGAACAGGTATTTCAGAGGTCTGTGTGGTCCCGGCGAAGGCGATTGCTAATTTTTCATCTTTCCTGCTTTCAAATATCCTAATGTCTCTACAAATTTAATAGTAAATAGAATTTAGCTGCATGTTTGTAGACGTTGTTACTTTAAATAAATAGTTTATATAATTGTATTACATACGATAATTAATGTATATAATGTGTTGAATTATGTTGCTGTTTTAAATAAATCTTGGGAAAAATTATGTAAAATATCATAATAAATACAAATTTATATTAAACTTCCTCTGTATGCACGTATCAAATAGCTTAATATTGTGTAGATATTGGATGAATTACCATTCCCCGAAGTTCGTTTTGATTGCGTTGATATTTATAATATTTGGAAACAAATTGCACTATCTTACGCCCAAATTTCGCCAATGCCGTTTTCTCTCGCCAAGTCTGCTACAGAAGATAAGTCCCGATTTTAGATTACGTAAAATACATCAGGTCATAAGTGAAGGATTAAAGCAGATAAATTCAGATAACTTGCATGTAATAACCTAGAAAGAAGAGAGAGAAGACACAAATACTTTTTAATCATGTCCCATGGTTGTAGATGGTGTTTGCGTGCATAATATTAATTGCGTACGTAGAAGAATGGAACTTGCAGACAAATGTAGCCGTAGATACAGCATAATTCCATTATCTGATATAGAAATTTTACTGAGACGCATACTTGATTCACATCATTATGGGCACAATTTTCACCCCCAAAATCTGGAAGTGTACATCCTAAGACTGTGGATGATGCAGAGAAATGATTCCCGTAATGTTAGTCCGAGGCTCTTTGCTGGAAAAGTGTGGACACATTCAGAAGAAACGTGAAGAGTGTCAAAAGGTGCCATAGCTATGTAAAAGATGGAAAAGGAAAGTATCCAAATCAACTGAAGATTGTAAGGGGCCTTTGCCAATTAAAATTAGAAGTTACTTTCATAATTTTCATTGTACTCTTCCTTTATCAGGGCCGGATTAAGATATGTATGTATGCATGCACACGTGTATGTATGTTCGTATATGTGTGTATATACACATATGCATGTGTACGGACATATACACATACATACATGAACACAGCCATAAATGCATACATACATTTTTTAATCCGGTCCCGATGACAGAAAAGTGTCTTTTTTTTTTCTTATACATATTTACGTATATAGATTTTCCAGCTCTGTCCATGTACGGTGCAGCATGGTGTGATTTGTATTACTGGGTGATCAAAAAGTCAGTATAAATTTGAAAACTTAATAAATCATGGAATAATGTAGATAGAGAGGTAAAAATTGACACACATACTTAGAATGACATGGGGTTTATTAGAACCAAAAAAAAAAAGTTAAAAAAATGTACTGTTATCGGGCCTTTTTTCTTCGAGGAAATGCGTGATTCTGTTTTTGTAACTGCTAACGTGACGGGTGAGAGGTACGCCGATATGTTACAGAATCGCATCGTCCCCAGCCTGGCTGATAAACACCTGCTGGAACGTACGATTTTTATGCAGGATGGCTCTCCACCCCATATTGCTAGACGCGTGAAAGATCTCTTGCGCGCGTCGTTTGGTGATGATCGTGTGCTCAGCCACCACTTTCGTCATGTTTGGCCTCCCAAGTACCCAGACCTCAGTCCGTGCGATTATTGGCTTTGGGGTTACCTGAAGTCGCAAGTGTATCGTGATCGGCCGACATCTCTAGGGATGCTGAAAGACAACATCCGACGCCGATGTCTCACCATAACTCCGGACATGCTTTACAGTGCTGTTCACAACATTATTCCTCGACTACAGCTATTGTTGAGGAATGATGGTGAACATATTGAGCATTTCCTGTAAACAACATCATCTTTGCTTTGTCTCAATTTGTTATGCTAATTATTGCTTTTCTGATCAGATTATTGCTTTTCTAATAAAACCTCATGTCATTCTAAGTATGTGTGTCAATTTTTACCTCTCTATCTACATTATTCCGTGATTTATTAAGTTTTCAAATTTATACTGATTTTTTGATCACCCGGTATATATATATATATATATATATATATATACGTGTGTGTCTATCTTTTGTAATACTTATTTTGGAAGGTGATTTTGATTTATATGCTTCCTATATGCACTTCAGTGTGCTTCTAACTTGGCTAAACTTAAAAAGTACAGCTTAGTACTGCAAGAATCATTACTGTCTTAAGATATTGCTGTCAAATAATATTCTGTTAGGGTTAGTATCCGTCTATAACAAAAAAGGTCTCCCTAATTTTAACTTGTAAATACTTATGAAATACATAGATATAAATCTGCTCAACTAAAAGTACAGGGTATCCATAAAGTCCCTAAACAAACTGAACAGCTTGTATGCGGAATTGGAACAACTAATACATTTGGTACAGATCACAATTTTACAAACAAGATTCAAAGTTTTTTTATAGAAAGTTTAACAAATTACGCAGTCTCGGCGTACTTGCGCAAGGCAATTTTCCAGCTCTCTCCATTTACAGTACAACAGGGTGTGAACAATGGTTTGCATTGGGATTGATGGTTCTGGTCTCCGGTTCTGCAGGGTTAGATACTTTCGAACGGTAAACAATGTCTTTAACATAGCCCTACAAGAAGCCCAAAAGAGTTATGTCAGGCGAACGTAGTGGCCATGGAATAAGTCCATCTCTACCGATTCATTTACTGGGGAATATTCTATGGAGAAAACTGCGACACATAATGTCCAGTGTGGTGGACTGCAATTCTGTGAAAATTGAAATCTGCCTAACAATCCTCCAATTGTGGTCAAATGTAATTAATCAAGATAGCGAGTTAAACTACGGCTGTTATTGCTTATTAATGGAAGGAAAATGGTCCTAAAATGCTCTCATACAAGATTCCACACAAAACGTTCACTTTAGGGATGTCCCGCTCCAGCTCTGTTGTGTCATGAGAACTTCCGGATCCCCAAATCCTGACATTATTTATGAACTAATTCAAAACAAATTGTTAGAAAATGATGTAAGTGTAATAACACCACAAAAATTTACATCCTACCTCTAGAGTGCCCACAAAAGTAGTGTACAGTTGTTCAGGGACTTGGTGGACATCCTATATATTTTAGCGAAAATTTAGCTACAAATATTCTATACAGAGACAGATACAAATAATAAAACATAACGAGATTTGACGTCTTAGTATTATTTGGATATTTTATAAATGTTTACAGTGCAGTTTTGAATATTTGGAAAATAATAACATCCCGACAAATATTTTAAAACTATTTTTAAGTTTCCGAAGTACTGATATCAATTCAAATCCGCTCCAATCTAGATACTTTCTTGCAAAAGTGAAGAAATAAAATCTAGACGTAAATTGATCAAATTAAATCTTACTAGTCGTAACTGTACGTTAGACTTATTTAAATTAAACTTCTCACATAAAGTGTTGTTGCGGCGAAAAATAAATGCTACATTATATTCAGAAAAATGTTATATTATTACAGTCTACATACTAGAATTAAGTCCAAGATTTCCAATCTATTTCAGAATAATATGGTTCGAAATAATTTGCGAAAGCGTTTCTAATCTGTGCTTGTAGATTGCATCATTGCGATTTTAACTTCATCGATCTAATTTTATAAAATTCAGCAGTGCCCTTCCTGACCGCTTTCGGAAAAGCTTGCCCAATAATATTCCTCGTTCTTGGTATATGACCCACATATCCAGGTATAGTATCTTTTCGCCGTTTTAGATCCTTGGTATAACGCTGGTGTTGATAGAGGTAAAATTCTTGTTCCTGCTTGGCCATGAGTTCGGCAGTAGGTACTTCAAGAATAGTGTTCAGTCTGTAGCCTGCAATGGGATGAGGAAGCAGCAATTCGTGTGTTGCCTTGCCAAACGTCTTTGGAGGAAGATAAAGACGATGAGGACCATATCCAGGCAGATAACCGGTATACCCAGGCTTAAAATGTGGTTCTGGGGTAACATGAGGATTAAAATTTATGTACGCTTCGCTTCGGGGCATTTTTAGCTAAATATTAAACAGTTCAAGTTAAGTTTTACACAGCTTAATTTGCTAATTATTTCAGTGTGTTTTTAGTTACACAAATGACTAATTAAACTTCAAATTTTATAAGTATACATGCCCATTACATTCTCAAGCACCATGAAAAAAATAAACTCTCGTGCAGTAATATTTTGAAACTGAAATAGATGTTTTATTGCCTATCAAGTTGTAATATTATTCTGATTCGAGGAATTAAAAATCAGTTGCCAATCTTTTTAATTAAAAGTTCTATGTGTTTTAAGTTGAAATATTAAAGTACAAATTTTGTTAGCAAATTCATTACACGTAGATATTGTAAAATTAATAGATGGAGCACGCTAATCTCTCCAAGCATATATTTTTTATTTCAAAAACGTTGTGGCATCAGCCATGAGAGTGTCAAGTCGTTTAATATGCAGTTTACATTGCGTTTAGTGTAATATTCAGTTTACATTGCGTTTAGTGCAATATGCAGTTTACATTGCATGTGGGGGGGAGGTGGATAATTGGAATACAGTGATAAGGATATCACATTTGTCTGAGCTTTTCTGAAGCTAAAAAAATGTTTGAAATTATTTTATATTTTAACATATGTGTATACTATATAAATTAAAATGACTCATACATTAGAGACAGTTTAAATTTTCTTAATCACAGTCTATTAGATTATTATTATTAAATATGCTTTCATGTTTCGGCAAATTTAACTATGTAACATGGACCTTAGAAAACATTTACGCTGTCACTCTGATGTACAGATTTGAAACAAAAATGTGTATTTTGAATACAAAAATAACAATTACAATAACTGTCATTGTGAACTTTCTGACTGGAATCAGGTTTTACTGCACAATGAGCGATCAATTATTATTACTATACCTACAATTAAACCAAGTCAAAGGTACATTTAAAATTTTATTTCTATCGGTGGTAGAAAAAGGAATACTTCTGAAAGTTAAATTTGAAAAATAATGAATGTAAGTATAATTTTATTAAGCTTTAATTCGAAAACTTCAAATATAAGAATTTATTTGCAATTATTAAAATAGTGCGTTTTAAAACTCGCAAGTTACGATCTAAACCTGCAGAGCTAAGAAAATTACAAATCAATCATTACAGTATCTCTTGTTAGATCCTTACACTTATATAAGTAAAAAGTCAGAAGTAGCCTTTCTAAAGTCTTCTCACTTTTATAATCCTTTATAAAAGTGAGAAGTTTACAAACATTAATCAAAATCAAATGTCCTTCAAATCAAACTCTTAAATGTTTAACGTTTAAGTTTTTCTTACGGTCGTACTATTCTCCCGGAACGTATGGGATAGTTCTCCAATTCATCTTCAGAAATTTTTATCGTTTCAAAATGAGCGATAAAGTCGCTGAACGCTGGGCTCGAATCTTGGCGAACGGGCTGGCTGCATGGGCGTTTTAGTGGTTTTCCAGATATTTAACGTGTATACGAGCTAATTTTCTCCAAACAGTCCTCCACGAAGTCGTCCCTCCTCAGATATAGGCAGATAGCCCTCGAGAACTTAGCCATAATGAAACAAACTAAACTTTTCAAAATGTTGACACCAATGGACTAAAGGTTCCCTTTCTTCGATAGATGTTTTTTTATCTACGTAATTATTCATTCCTAATGGATAGAATCCCTGTATAGGTCTTAATTCATATCCATTAGCTGTTTTTATTCTTACAAGTCGATTAACACCATCTTGTCTCGGAAATATTTCCACAACCTTTTTGCTTCTGGCCAGTCTAATGACATTTTTATATGTTTTATTTTAACGGAATCAACATCCCTGCCTTTGGGTGATTTAAACAGTCCAAAATATTGTCGTTTAAGCTGCATTCGCAGTTTCTGACTTATACTTTTGAGCTAATTTAAACTTTTCACTAAAAAAAAACTACTTCATTATTATCTAGATGGGCTACATCATTTCTCGGAAGACCTTATAAAAACATCGGTGGTTTCAATACACTCAGTTCATCACATATCTAAATCAGTGGATAATTATTTATGATAGATTCGCATTAACATAGTAGTTTGTTCAGCTGCTCGTAATTCAATGACGCAGGATGCAGATTCTTATTCAAAAGATGCTTTTAAATTCTTATATTATTTCGAAGGGGCAGTCGGTGCCCTGAGCTCCAACCGAATACCTTGTAAACTATATTCCCCTTGAATCTCGTTGGGGTCTAATGATTTGAAATCAGAACTCACTCCAGGGAACTTTGCATTGTTTAGAACTACTTCCAAAAGATGGCACTACCAGCTTTCTCCCTTTCGTTCAGTAATGAGTAAGAATTTGAAACTGACCCTCAACAGTTCATTTCTGGCAGCCAATAGTGCAGCACCGAATTGATCTCGCTTTTAGTCGTGGAATGCCGCCTGGCTTTCATGCAATTAGCATGTTTGTTAAGGTGGATCCCCTTTTGTGATTATTCTTTGATTGTGCAGAGCGACTTCGTCTCATGTTAATTCCCCTCCCCGGGGGGGGGGTCGACTGGCAGCAATTCTGGCGCTCTGGCTAGGTTAGTATCTAGACAGACAATATCTAAAGACTCGATTTCTGGGGAAAAATTAAGTCTTCGAAGTGAATAGAACTATCGTTTATTCGGTAGGAGGTTCGGGTTGGAAGGGACTATATTTTAGTGTATTGTTTGCCTCTTGGTTTTGGGGACACTACTTGGTTAGATTTCGAAGGAGGTCCTTGAGGTTTTTCCTCCCCATGGTCAACACTGGAGGACTGTCGATGTCTAACATGCGTTCTAAGTTTTTTTCCGGTAGATTCGTTGCAGTCCACCATTGCTTTAAAACAAAACCCAGACTTTGTGAAACTGAAATTGTCCCTCGGGTTGACCGGGGGTTATGCCTCCTTGGATAGCCTCTAGGGGTCTCTCTCTAACCGTTAACAGTGTAAGGCAGCGTCGAGCTAGCCAAGTGTGGATGCCCCTTCCTCCTAGAGCTCTAGCTCTATCTCATGTTTATTTTTCTTATTTTTGTACACAGATTAAATAAGTGTATTTTGTAATTAATGTAATGAAAAATAATGGATTTAAAAACAGACAAATTATCTTTATCCTTTGCATTAAAGCACATCTCTACAAAACGATAACTCTGCAATCTCTACTAATGCAAAACACGACAGTATCATTATCCACGTATATAAATGATATTCTTTCTGTTATATTTATAAATCCTCTTAGGGCTAGGATTAAAAACAATGCTACTTCCTGATCAGTTCAAGATGAACAGCCCAGTATGCTGAGCAAGTAAAAATAATGCAGCATTTCTTTTCAGAATCAGTAAAACGTTGCGAAGCAAAACTGAATCCAATTACTTGAAAAGTAAAAGTCCTCTGTATTTGATCGTTTGGAAGAGGCAGAAAACGAGGTTTTAGAGATTTCATCGTTAATTTTAAAAACAGAGAGATAAATCGCTTGGCAGTCTAGTTATGATCTCAAGAACCTTCTATTTGATTCACCCAGGAGTAAATTCAGCATACATAGTCATATTTCTTCCGAATACAGTATATGTAATGGTCATGTTATGATTAACAGCATAATCATTATTAGAAAATAAAGATAAAAAGGCTTACTTTTTAGTCGATCTTCTTTCTCGTTCCAAAGGCGTATCCAAAAATGCTTTTATTAATTACACACATCAAAGGCACAACTCACGTAAAAAGAGAGGCTTCTAAGATAATAAGATGTTTAATTTACAATCACATCACTAAACTAAGATATATATAACACAGAAGAGAAGGATTACATGTTTCATTCAAACGTCCATCACGAGTTTTCAAAGTTCAGTTAAAGTTCTGTTTTTTGTCTTTTGCTCCGGGTATGCGCACATCACGTGGTGGTCGGTGAGAGTTTCAACACACTCCCACCTTTAAATTTGCTGACAAATCAAATTTGAAACTGTAACCTTTGAACAGGCTCTACCTTTCGACCGCTTCTTGTAGTCATCGATGGAATCTTTTCGCTCCTAAGATCTTGAAACAAGTCATTACGAATATCAGGATCGCAGTGAGTCTCTTTTTCATCAGAAGAGCTGCTTGTCACATTTATAAATCTATACTGTTCGTCTAATGATGTTAACTCAAAGGATACAAACGCTTGGTTGGTCGCATAATATCCCCAAGTTTAGTCTTGACCTTAACTAAACGCAAATGTTCATCCCGAGATTTGAAACCGCAACATTCATTTACGGTTTTGCAGCTGAGGATAATGGTTCGGTAAAACCATCGAAACTAGTCCTGTGGAAATTTTGTAAATATAGCGCTAATTTTTGTTGTTTGTCTTCTGAATTAGCAAGATTCACAGAGATTTCTTCCTTGCTAGTTTCTTTCTCATTGCTGCTTAACAGAGGCCTCTTAGTATTTGTTTTATTTTTTTGTAGTTCCAACCACATAATTACACTGCGATTCTTATGACAAATTGCACAATTAATTGAGCTTCTGCATTTATTTGCACAGTGCCCAGCTTTTGCCTTTCTGAAAATGGCATTTTTTGAGTTTTAAAACAATTAAATGATCTGTGTTTTCCACTGCAAAGCACACACGTATTAGCAGAAAAATCAGCCTTCAACAAACTTGCTGCCGCTGTTTGTGATTGGTGATTTAATAGTTTTAATAGATTTAATTCTACGGGACATTTCGTTCTTCAAAGCAAAACCAGCCATAGCTAAATGTATGCGTTCTTCAGATTCTCCTTTTGATTTAAAAAAAAAATTAATAAACTGTTTTGCATTTGGGGTCTAGACCATGATCAACATTTGCACTTCTTTGATAGGCTCTTAAAAATTCCTCGGGTAATCAAGACTCAACTAAAAGATAAGTAAGTGCAGCTTCTTTATCTGTAATGACGCCAAGGCTTTCCAGAGCCCGAATTTGTTCTTTCAAATTATCATATAGTGTACCTAAGTTATTAAAGGTTTCATTAGAATCTACATGTCTCAGGACCAGTTTTAACA